GGTTTGATTTGGTATGGTAGGAAACCATTATGGTACCATATGGTATATCATGGTAAAAAGCACGCTAACAGACTATTCCTAATTTCTACATTCAGGTACACTATGGTAAAGCAAAGAAAAAATTTTCGCACAAGGTGCAGCCCAACAAGAATATCTGCAATTGCAAGGACTATAAAAGATGACCAGAAAGAGAAACTTGAGATATTAGGCCTAGCAGGCTTAATAACAATCAAGCAGACAAAGATATACAACAATTTTGCACTGTTCGTAATGAACAAATACAATCCAATGAAACAATCTTTCAAGCTACCTGACGGGACACGCATGAAGATATCACCAATCGACTTTCATAGGGTATATGGTCTGCCAATGGGGAATAGGGAAGTTGTACCTCCCATGATTTCTTGGGACGACGCAGCAGATTATGCAGTAGAAACCCTACTGGAAGTAGATGGAAAATCCACTCCAAGGGTAAAGCTAAGTCAGGTAGAAAAAGATCTTTCTACAGTTACCAACAGTAAGAGATGGTTACAATTATTCTTTCTGCTGGTCACCGGAGGCTTGCTGTGCCCAAGTTCAGCCCCTATGGCTGAACTCAACATGCTTGAGTACTTGAAGACTGATGAACAGAAACATTTCACCAGCTACAACTGGTGCAAATACTTCTTCAACCACATGAATGAAGGATTGAAATCACCAAAGCTCTACGTCAATGCAGATCTTCACTTCCTTACAGTAAGTCTCCATTCCCTTGGCCATTTCAACCTTGTTACTCATATATTTTATATATAAATGATACTCTTTGAAAAAACTAATACAACTATCTGCATAAAAAGGTATGCTTCATGTACAAACTGGACGAAATGGCATTCTCAACCCAGCTTCGAACACCAACAGTAAGCTACTATGATGATAACAATGTTGATAGCAACTTTGAGAACATTAAGAGCTACTACAATGGAAAACAGTTGAACGAGATCGAAAAGGTTGCCAACATTAGAGACGATGAGGCTGATGATGAGGATGATGATGAGGCTGATGACGCAGCTGATGAGGAAGAGGAGAATGAGCCAGTCTATGAATCACCGAAAAGACAAAGAAACAAAAGTCCAGAGCAATCATCATCACTGAACTTTGATTTGAAGAATATCAGAACAGTGAACCAAGTAAGTACAAATTATCTATATTACAGTTGTCCAATTCAAATTATCTATATTACAGTTGTCCAATACATGCTAAGCGTAAGTCCTTCTGTGTTTTAGTTTGTTACCATATGGTAAAGTGTGGTAAGCTATGGTTTCATGTTATAAAAATGGAGCAAAACATAAGTCCTGTTGTGGTTTACTTCGTTACCATATGGTAATGTGTGGTAAGCAATGGTTTCATGTTATAAAAATGGAGGAAACCATAATTCTTGTTCTGTTTTACTTTGTTACCATATGGTAATGTGTGGTAAGCTATGCTTTCATGTTTTAAAAATAGCAAAAAACAACAAGTCCTGCTGTGTTTTAGTTTGTTACCATATGGTAAGGTGTGGTAATCTACGGTTTCATGTTATAAAAATGGAGGAAAACATAAGTCCTGTTGTGTTTTAATACGTTACCATATGGTAATGTGTGGTAAGCAATGAATTCATGTTATAAAAATGGAGGAAACCATAATTCTTGTTCTGTTTTACTTTATTACCATATGGTAAGGTGTGGTAAGATATAGTTTCATGTTATAAAAATGCAGAATAGTGATAATAATTGCCAATACCATGTATTACCACCATGGTAACTAACCATACTCCCATTATGCAGGCTGAGAATGCAATCAAATTGCTTGAAGCATCAATGAAGGCAATGATGAAAGCAATAAAAGACCAGTACAAAAGCCAAATTGAAAATCTGATCAGACACAAGGAGAATCTTGCGAAAGAAAGCTGTGATGAATATGTTCAGCCCACAGAAGGAGAAAAATCTCAGTGTGAAGATGATGAAGAAGAGAATGATGAAGAAATGCATGACAGTTTGAATAAAACACTCAATGAAATATTCAAACAGACAAACATAGACCAGAACGAAGAGGAGAACGAGGAGCAAACACAGAAAGAAGATGATTCACAACCATCTACAGTCGATCTTGCTGCATCTACACCGAAGCCAAAAGAAAAGGAGCAAGATGATTCTGCTCCAGGAGCTGTGAATAGGGAAAGCATCCCAAAAGAAGGAGATCCACTGGGGGAAGTTGCAACAGAACCACCAGAACAATCTGTTCAAGAAGGTCTGAATCAGGGAACACCACAACAAGAGGACACCCAGAAAGCAGTTCCAGAACAGACATCTGCAGAAGAAACCGAAGAAAAAGGAGCTACCAAAACAGCAGATCCAATGGAAGTTGATAAGGAAACAAGAGAAGAAGGGAATACAGGGCAAGCTGCACAAAAGACTGCAGAAACTGACAGCGAGAAGACGGTGTCAGATGATGTTGTTCGTGAAGAGGCTCCAAAACTGACAACCGAAGCTGCTGAGAAGCCTAAAGTGACGAGGGAAGACGACATTCCATCCTTTGATCTCAGCCCTCTCAACCGTCAAACACCAACAACACCAACAAAGTTGACTACCAACACGGCAACCGATCAACCAGCAGAGCCTCGCAAAAGAAGAATCGTGATAAAGAATGTACACGGAAATGAAAAGAAGGCAAGAGCAACACCACCACCAGAACAGCCACAAAGCACCCAGTCACAGACGGGGTCATATGCTATATGGTCAAATCTCTACACAAACAGCCAGGAGAAGCTCAAGGAAGTCCGTGAATGCATAGATGCTTACCTAGAGGACCCGAATTCTCCAGCTGCCGAACCAGTTGCTCCACAGTCACAAAAATCACCAGTTGAATGGTCAACACCAACACAAACAACACCTGATGATATGTTCAGCAACATCCTGGAGTACATAAGATGCAAAAACAAGAAATTTGCCAAGAGGTAAGTCATCATCTTAAAACTTCTACTGTTATATGATGTTACTGTAGTGATCTAGTTTGTTACCATATGGTAAAATATGGTAAGATATGGTAAAATTAGATAAATATATGGTTTAATGTTACAAAATGTAGTAATGCACAAGTCCTGTTTTGTTTTAGTTTAATACCATATGGTATGATGTGGTAAGCTAAGGTTTGTTGTTAAAGAATGGATTAAACCATAACTCCTGTTCTATTTTACTTATTACCATATGGTAAGATGTGGTAAGCTGGTGTGTTTTACTTATTACCAAATGGTAAAATGTGGTAAGCTGGTGTGTTTTACTTATTACCATATGGTAAGATGTGGTAAGCTGGTGTGCTTTACTTATTACCATATGATAAGATGTGGTAAGCTATGGTTTTGTTGTGATAACCTATTGTTTGATGTCATAAATTAAAGTAAACCATCCGTCCTATTGTGATGTGCTTGTATACAGTGATGAGATAATGTTTAAAAGGAAGGATGGAACATTCATGCTGAAAAGGGAGTCAGTACAGTCGATTGACATTGGCTGTGAAATCACATCTGATGTCATCGGCTGGTATGGAGATGTAATGAACAGGAATGAAGCAAAAAAAGGAAAATTCACAAGGTGGTTCTTCGATACATCTTTGGCAGTAAGGAAACCCACCCATATTCTGTCAAAAGTTCTTAGACAACACATATATAAAACACATAATAACAACCACAACTTTCAGGGTGACTGCCAACTGGACATTGATAGTGGCAATCCTGTACTATCTCCAGACGATTACTACAACAAAGTGGACTTGGACATCACCAACAAAGAATGGGCCAAAAACCTCAGCTTCACAGAATGTAACCTTGTAAGTATCTCACCACAATTTTTGCAGTGGTTACCATATGGTATATAGTGGTAAAATTAGTTTGCAATTGTTCTTAACTTAACTTACTGTTCATCACTTATATGGCAACTGCTTACCATATGGTATACTGTGGTAAAATTATTTTGCAGTGGTTCTTCCCTTACTGTAATAACAAGCACTACATCATGATTTGTGTCAACATCAAAGCAGAGAGATTTGAAGTGCTCGATAGGGGTGGGCATTAGGTTCGGTTTTACCGAACCGAACCGAACAAAAACCGACCGAAACCGAGATACATAAAATTAGGTTCGAAATTCGGAAATGAATGTAGTGTATTTCGGAAACCAGACGTGTTTGAACCGAACCGAATTACCGAAATAACCGACCGAATTCCGAAATAATAACCAGCCCAACCCACTAGCCACTAGCCCACTACCCAGGCCCACTGGCCCAGCACCTCCCCAGCACAAATTGAATTGGGCCTCTGGCCTCACGTCCTCAGCCTGCCAAGTGCCGGCCTGCCCTCTAACCCTAGGTCAGGAGATTGAGTGATTGACTCCTCGTCTCCACTCTCCTCCTCGCAGTCGCAGACCTCGCCCTCCCCTCGGAATAGCGAACTCGAAGCAGCAGCTCTGCTCGGAAGTCGGAACTCGACAGGCGGCGACTCGCGACTCCTCGTCCTCCAGTCCTCCTCGACACTCGACAGGCGGCGACTCCTCCTCCTCGGCAGGCGGCGACTCCTCCTCGACAACACCGCGTATTTCGCCGCCGCCGACAACTGCTCCGCCCTCGTCGCCCTCCCTTCCGACGCGCTTCTGAACAGAAGGAAGTCCCTCAGCTTCCAATTCTTGTACCGCCCTTTCGACGAAAACGAGTCCGAAGTCCAGAATCCAAAACCAATCGACATGACTGCCTCCATCAGTCGGAAACAGAAGGCCATTTCGGTTTTCACCATCCGAACCGAATCGAACCGAGTTGTAATTCGGTTCGGTCGAACCGAACCGAATTACAACTCGGTTCGAATTCGGTTGGCGTGTTAAGCATCTCGGAAATTCGGCATGTGGTAGTTCGGTTCGGTTCAAACCGAACCGACCGAACGCCCACCCCTACCAAGAGCATTGTATAGTATGTTACTGTTGGAGATCTGTCACCGACATGTACACTTAGCCACCGATCTGTCTCTCATCTCCCTCTTCCACTCCACTCCATTCCACGCCCACCCTCTGCCTCTTCTCGCATCCATTCTCTCTTCCACTCCGCTGGCCTCCGTCACTCGACGGAGCTCCCCCTTTCAATTTCTTCCCTTGCCATCTTTAGCTGCAAATCAGGAATCAGTTTCAGCACTTTCCGTATACCTGATGTTGCCATTCATGGCGTTGCTGTAATCCGGAATTCCAGCCAGTTACCCTACAGTTGCCTAACCAGAACCGATCCCTCTGATCTGCAATCAAGATCTCGCCATCAGACCAGGGTACGCACCACAATATTCGTTGAATGGGGCACTTGAGCCTCCCATCCAAGCGAAACCCTAAGCAATGGAAGCTGCTCGACCTCGTATCCGCTGCCTTCTTCGGTCTAGTCGTCCTCTTCCTCTTCCTTGTCTTCACTCCCTTCGGCGACTCCCTCGCCGCCTCCGGCAGGCAGGCTCTTCTCCTCTCATCTTCGGATCCCAGGCAGCGCCACCGCCTCGTCGAGCTCATTGAAGCTGGACAGCATCCTCAGCCGATTGAGGCTTGTTCCGCCGAGGAGGTCGATCACATGCCATGTGAGGATCCCAGGCGGAATAGTCAGCTTAGTAGAGAGATGAACTTCTATAGGGAACGTCAATGCCCAATACCGGACGAGACGCCTCTTTGCTTGATCCCTCCACCAAATGGCTACAGAGTTCCCGTCAGGTGGCCGGATAGTTTGCACAAGGTATGTGTTCCTGAAACGTACTACGAATGCTTGCTTTTATTCTTGTATATATATTGCCAACATGGAAAGTATGTTACTGCTTAGCCTAGCCGCGGCAGGATTTATGGCATGATCTTGAGATTTATGTATCTTTCCTTTTACAGTCTCTGCCTTTAGATTCGGTCTTGATGGCGTTGTGTTTATTTTTTGGTTGTTCTATGGGGCCGATCTTTACTTCTCGTGGCTAAATATGTAGATCTGGCATGCAAACATGCCGCACAACAAAATTGCTGAGAGAAAAGGCCATCAGGGATGGATGAAAGAGGACGGTGAATACTTTATTTTCCCTGGTGGTGGCACCATGTTCCCAGAAGGTGCCATACCTTACATTGAGAAACTTGGACAGTATATTCCCATCCGAAACGGAGGTTTGAGGACTGCCCTTGATATGGGATGTGGGGTAAGAGCTGTGTTGTTCTCTTCCTTCTCTAACATGATCATGATGTTATCAAGTTTTTAAGGTTTATGACTAACAACAGTTCCTCACAGGTTGCCAGTTGGGGAGGATATCTGATGAAAGAAGGACTTCTACCTCTTTCTTTTGCCCCAAGAGATTCACACAAATCTCAGATACAATTTGCGTTGGAACGAGGAATTCCGGCATTTGTTGCGATGCTTGGCACTCGGAGGCTCCCATTCCCTGCATTCTCATTTGACTTGGTTCACTGCTCTAGATGCTTAATCCCTTTTACGGCTTACAGTTAGTTCTCTCCCACCCCCCTCTAACTGTGCACTTCGTGTTTTTTTACAATTCTACAGTCTCTTACCTTTTATGTTTGGCTTGCAGATGCAACTTATTTCATTGAAGTCGATCGCTTGCTTCGCCCAGGAGGATATTTAGTCATATCTGGTCCTCCTGTACAATGGGCTAAACAAGATAAAGAATGGGCAGATCTTCAGGGTGTGGCCAGATCTCTTTGTTATGAGCTAATTGCTGTTGATGGGAACACTGTCATTTGGAAAAAGCCTTCCGGAGATTCATGCCTGCCTAGTCAAAATGAATTCGGCCTTCACTTGTGTGATGAATCGGTTGATCCAAGCTCTGCATGGTAATTGTCTGCACTTCATCCCACATTTTTTGGGAGCTTATGTGTGATTATTAGTGTTTTCCCTATCTGTACATGGGGTCACTATTTGTGATAGTCTCAGTCGTCTGGTATCCTATATTTGACCTTCAGGCTCAAATTCCATCTAGTAGTCTTCATTTCCTACAAATGGCTGTAGTTTTGTTCTTAATTTTTTTTGAGAACTGGACTTTTATTCTAGTAAGCTCAGACTTGCTTTGCTGCTGCAGGTACTATAAATTGGAGAAATGTGTGACCCCTCAATCTTCAATAAAGGGAAAATATGATGTCGGGGGGATTCCGTCTTGGCCAGATAGATTAAACAAAGCCCCTGCAAGGGCTGCTCTCATGAAGAGTGGCATTGATTTATTTGAGGCCGACACTCGTCGTTGGGCAAGGAGGGTGGCCTATTACAAGAACTCTTTGAATGTCAAGCTGGGAACTCCGGCCGTGCGCAATGTGATGGATATGAATGCATTTTTTGGTGGCTTTGCTGCAGCACTAGCATCTGATCCTGTGTGGGTGATGAATGTTGTTCCTGCTCGCAAGCCGATAACTTTGGATGTAATCTTCGACAGGGGCCTTATTGGTGTTTATCATGATTGGTGAGTTTGGTTTATTGTGGTGACTTTGGTTTTTATTAATTAGGTTCTGTTAGCATTTTGACCTAACTAAGTCTATACTGAATTTCAAGCAACCCTAGTTTTTTTGCCGTGGCTATTAATAAGTTTTCGTGATAGACTGAAGCAGTGAACCATACTTGTCTAGCTCTATGTTTGTAGAAGCAACTCTAAAAGCATGTGAGATATTGGTTAAAAGTACTCGACTTAACCAAAACATGTTAAAGGAATTCGTTATTATATATAATATAGGGGATGTTGGTTTCAGCTTGCTAAAACATCAAGTAACGCTTTTTGAAATTTTAGTAGAACTGAAGAAAAAGCGCGAGGATGAGTTTAAAAAAAAAGTTGAGTTGATGAGAGGTGAGATATTATTTGGTTATAAAGTGTGGGATGGGATATAGTTTGTTCAATAATAATCAAATGAGAGAGTTTTGAGCAGCGACTATGATGAGTATAACTTTAAGAATGTATTGTTTTTCTATAGTGGGTAAAGCTGAAAATGAATGTTATTCGTTAATGTGGGTTTTAACTTTTAATAATTGTGAGAATTAGGTTGAGTAGTTGTTCCGAAAGTTAAATTTGAGTAATGTGTTTGTTTTAGCTTTTAAACAGACTTTTGTTTAACATGTTGACACCAAAGAAGGCCTTTAGATATTGTTCATTACTGTGCTTGATATGCCGTGATTCGATTGGTTTCCGTATAATGTTTGCTAACATGCTAACTTTTCTTGTCACAGGTGTGAGCCCTTCTCAACTTATCCTCGAACTTATGATCTAATCCACGTTTCTGGAATCGAATCATTAGTAAAAGCTCCAGGCTCTGGCAAAAACAGGTACTTTCAGTTTGCATTATGATCTACAGTCATTAGGGTGTCATTTAACTGTATCATTTCAAAATTGATGGAGTTTGAGATGTAGATGAATTTAGGAAATAAAAGATTTATTGAAATTCATTGATGAATTGTGGTCTGCGGATTTCCCAAATTTAAATGGAAAGTAGTAATATGGTAAACTGGACTGAGAGATTTCCAAATCTGACGTTGGAGGGCTTCATAGTGCAAGAAATTCTTGTAACTTGTTTTAGGAAGTATTTTGTTACTTGTAATTCAGGACATGCTGAAAGATGATGGAAATTGGTTATTCACAGTTTCACACCATTGCATGACTTTGTTAACTGATACTGATATGCAACTGAAGTTCCTCAAGAGAACCCTGCGCTCATCATTTGGTATAGAAAGACGCCCATTAGGAAATGCATGTCTGCATGCGCCAAAAATACTTGATGCAGCTAGCTATGCTAAAGCAATGCTACAAAGTGAACTCATGCTCTTACTGTTGGAAACCAAGTCATTCCTTGAATGCATGTTTCACTTTATCCTCCGGATATTCTACGATATTCAATAGTATGAATTTTGTTTGCAGGTGTAGCCTCGTGGATCTGATGGTGGAGATGGACAGAATACTGCGACCAGAAGGAACAGTGGTGATTCGCGATTCTCCTGAGGCGATAGAGAGAGTGGCTCGCATAGCGAATGCTGTTAGATGGACTGCTACGATACATGAGAAAGAACAGGAATCTCATGGGTCACAGAAAATACTGGTTGCTACCAAGAATTTCTGGACACTCACTTCAGCATCTCACTGACTTCACACTCGTTTCTTCTCTTTTCAAAATCTTTTTATATGATGGGGTTTACTCTTTTCTTCAGGTAGCCTAGCTATAATTAATTCGTCTTCTTACATCCCTCGTCTCTTTTTTTTTGGTCTCGGTTCGTAATTTCCTGTAAGATGAATGAAGATGAGGATGATGCCAAAACGTGTCTGTATACTCCACCAAGTCAAAACAGGGGCAAGAAGATCAGATTCAGATTGGCTTCTTCCTTTACTTTCCCTCCATTCTTTTTATATATAAATTTGTTGGTACCTTATGCCCACAAGTTAGGGAAGAGTGAAAAGGGTATATGGGAAGCAGAATTAGGACACATTCCCAGCACCAGCAGGGGGCTCTGTTCTGTTTGTCACAAAATTTGTGGTTGGATGTTTGATAATTGATGAACGGGTATGGGCCTACGACGGGTATTTGTCAATGCATTCACTTAAAAGAATTTCAACATTCGTTCTGACACATTCCTCCCCGCCCAGTTGCTATTGTTCAGCATCAGAGGACTTTTCGACAAAGTTGTGTTAGCGAGTTGCAGTTGCTGCAGGGACCACAGCGATGTCGGATGAGTCATCTCTAAGGATCAAACCGCTCCTCCTATTGATGGCCAAGGGCGGTGTAGTCGTGTAGACATCTCAATCCTCGTTTCATTCGGAGCAGGGCGGGCGGGTTATATCGTTGCAAGATATGATTAATAATATGTATTATTAATGATATATACATATGTATATAGTTAGGGTTAATAACCCGAACAATAAAAAAAAGTTTCACTTGAATATCAATCTATTCAATATTCCGAAATGTCATAATGATTTCATTAACTATTAAAGAGAACGGTTGACCAGACGGACGTCACAGAAATGTTGATTTTTGTTGACGTGATAACCCGAATAATAAAAAAAAGTTTCACTTGAATATCAATCTATTCAATATTCCGAAATGTCATAATGATTTCATTAACTATTATAGTTTTATGTTATTTGTCATAATCATTAACTATTAAAGATAACGGTTGACCAGACGAACGTCACATAAATGTTGACTTTTGTTGACGTGGCAGCAAAAATCTCTGCCATGTAATGCCACACCATTAAATATTATTTTTCATTCAAAATCTAATTAATTTATAAATAACAAAAGTTAAAAATTAGGAAAGTTGAAAAAAACCTAAGCCGCCGCCTTTGTTCTTTGATTCCACTGCTAGTGGGAGGAGGAAGAGCCTTGGGCTGATCGACGCCGACAACTCGGACATTTTGGAGCCACGCCGACAACTGAGGCGTTTCAGGGACAATCGAACACCTAAACCCATATGCAAATCAATCGAAAACCCCAACAATTGAATGACGCAAATGTTTGTGCTTGGAATGTACCAAGCGGTTGGTGAGACTCCACTGGCCTTGGGCGGCTTCGATGGTCGAGGGCGGCCTCCGAAACCCTGCAGAAAGGTCCTCAGGGGTTTCCTGGGACCTCCTCCGATGCTTAAGTTAGAGAGAGAAGTGAGGTGTAAGTAAATAAGAGAGAGAATCGAGTTGGTTGAAGTTACCATCAATGTGGTTCGCAATTGAGTATTTATACTAGTGCTAAGCGGATCATGGGCATTTAATGGCTTGTCGGGCGTCCTGGGACGCCCTCGACAGTTCTGGCCACTCTGTACCTTTTTCAGGCTCCGTACAGATCAGGTCAGAGCCAGGTTTCCGTTTGCCATTGTGTCAGGCTCCGTACCGATAGGATCGGGACCAAGCATCCACGTGTCTCCATGTCGGGCGGTCATGCATCCACGTTGGGCGGTTCTCGCTGTGTCGAGGGAAAAGACCGCCTTTGGTGGGTTTTGGTGGCTCGTTGCCCCTACTCAGGCCCGACTCGCTTCTTTACGGACTCTGAGCCACTATGGGTTTGGAGCCCAAGTGTCTCACTATTTGGCCCAACGATGGGTCTTAGGCTACTATGGGCCTGGACCCCAAACGCCCCAATATTTGGCCCAACATTTGCCCCTTAGGGGTGGGAAGCGATAGGTTTTCGCGGCTAAACAATATTTTCCACCAATGTTGGGAGGTTCTGGGTGTCCTGGCCCATAGTACACTCGAGGCGGTCATCGGCCGCATTTAGTGTGATTCCCTTGTTGCCCCTAGTCGTGGAGATGTATCGGGAGGACGCCTTAGGGGAAGGACCGCGTCCGGTCTCGGTATTCAACTTCCACCCGCCACGTGTCGCGCATCGGGCGGGGAGCTCTGACACCGGCAGACGGAACGTCACCTCTGGGGGTGTTCCGCTCTCGGGTTTCGCGAAAAGGTCACTTCGGGACGTCATTCTTTCCCTTTTCGCCTTTAAGTAGAATTTCGAGAGGGATTTTCGCCACTCTCCTCCGGTTTAGGAAAGCGCTTCGTCTTCTTCCTCTCTTCTTTCTCTGCGGAAAGCTTGAAGGTCGCCGACGTCGTCGCCTATAAATTCAGTCTTTCAGGTGAGTTTTGGCTTTATTTTTCTTTCGTTTGGGTCCTCGGTCGTGTGATTTCTTTCGTGTTGTTGACTTGCGTCTTGTTCTTGTGGGCGACGCCGGCGCTTCGGGTATTGGGGAATTGCCGATCTTGTTCGTTCTCGCCGTCGACAGATGTCGGGTGAGGGACCCTCGTCGTTGCTGAGCGGGGAGAAGGACCATGCCCCCGATGCGGGGAATGTCTTGGTCTCCGACTCTGGACCGACGGCGGTGTCAATGAAGGAGCCCGCATCTTCTGCCGCTACCGTGCCGCCTCGTGCTGCCGGGAAAAAACCTTCAGAGACCGCTTCTGGTATTCAAGGTACGAGTTATTCTTCTCCCATTCGAAGCACGTCTGAATGCGTGTGGGATTTATCCGGGTTAGAGCTATATGTTGGAGAGGGGTACGAATTGCGAGATTGCCTTGTTGGAACTTGTGTAGACTTAGATAACTCTCGTGCTAACCTCCACCCTGTACCAGTTGGGGTTGTGGCCACCTCTTCGGCAGTTGGGGATAACTTGGGGGAACCGGATCGGGTAGAACTAGGTAGCGCTTCCTTGGACATTGAAGACGATTCTGAGAGTGACGGGGTGCACTCGGAGGCGGTTCCCAGTACCTCCTCGTCTTTGGAGGTAGTGGAGGACGCGGAGGGGAGACCGCTTCCTCTAGCAATTTCTGACTCGGTGTATACCCTGCTTCTCCATGGCGGGATGTGGGACGACGGGGAGGTTCCGGAGGAGGTTTTTGCTCGCGGTCCGTCACACGCCGCAGTTTTTAGACCAGAACAAGTGCTATACCGTCTGAAGTCGCTCCGGATGCCTCCAGACTGGCGATATGCGGCCTCTTCTGAGCGGAGCCGCTCTGGGTCTTGCCCCGAGGGTTGGATTCCTATCCACGTCGAGCACGTGAAGCTAGGCCTGCGGTTCCTGTTGGACCCCATTCTGACGAAGGTCCTGCTCTGGCTCAACTGTACACTCGGATGCCTCTCACCCACCATTATCTTCCATTCGATCATGTACCGTTGGGCGTGTGACCGCCTAAAAGAGACCCCCTCCTTCGATGCGTTCCGGATGATCTACAACATCCGTGATTCGCCCAACGGTTGGTCTATTGGGCGGCGTGAGAACGCCGTTGGTTTCGTCAAGGGGGCGCCGAAGCTCGATTCTCCGTGGTACAAGGAGTATTTTTTCGCTCGCCCCTCATGGAAGTGGTATTCGGGTGACGTGGAACCGCGGACGGGTTACTCGGCAGGGCAGAAGGATGACTGGTGTGCGCCCTCACAGTTTCCTCAATCAGTGAAGGATCATGTTACACGTCTCGTGAATGGGATTCAGATTCGTGTGAAGCATAGCGGTCCCGAGAGCGCTTATCAGCACGTTCGTGCGTTTTATGGTTAGTGTCGCTTTTTTGGCTAATGTTGAACTTCTCTTTCTCATGTGCTTCACTTATGCTTTTCTTTTTCAGGCCTTCGCGAGCTGGCGGACGCGAACCGCCCTAAGAAGAGGAAGGCGGGAAGGAATACTAAGGTAGGCAGCTCTTCTGCCCCGGGGACTGAGGCGGGCACGGCGGCTGTTGACCGCCCGCCGTCTACTGTCCCGCCAGTCGTAGACCTGGCGGGGCCGGAGGTCGAGCCGTCTGTCCCTCTGTCCCGGCGAGGGGGAAAGAGGGTGGTGGAGGATCCCGCCTCGGAGGCGGCAGTGAAGAGAGCGAGGACGAGCTCCCCTCGTGCGAAGGCGGCTGGGAAGCGTGTGGATCAGGGAGGTTCTATCCCTTTGTCTCAGTTGGCCGCTACCGACACGGAGGCGGCCGAACACGGTCTCCACACCATTAGCGACTGGCTTGCCATGCCGACTGAGTATACTTCTACCTCCGAGGGTAACAACAGGCGTCTCGCGGGTACCGCTGCCCAGTTCTTTTTTGCGGTTAGTGCTCTCTTTCTCATTGTGTAGCCTCCCCCTTACTCGGCTTCTTTTGCTTTCTGGCCTAACTCATTCCTTTTGGGTATGTCTGCGCAGGCTCAGATTGGATTTTCCCATATTATCCTTCTGAATGACCGCCTTTCGAAGACTGTTGAGGACAATGCGGTCGAGATCGCCAATCTTCGGAAGAGTGTGAGCAGCCAACGTGAAGCCATGATCGCGGAGGTGCGGCCCGAGATTGAACGTGAGTTTTCCGACAAGTTGGCAGAGAAAGAACGGGAGGTGCTTGCGGCTAAAGGTCGCCTTGAGGAGAGCGCCCTTAAATCTAAGGAGCTGGAGAAAACTTTGCTGGAGGAGCAGGAGGCACTTCGTCAAGAGGTGGCGAGTCTTAAGAGCGAGAAGGCCGCTCTGACCGCGAGCCGTGAGAGTGATCTTGCGGCGGCTCGCGCTGAGGCGGGACCTGCTTATCTACAGTCAGCTGAGTTCGTTGCTTTTGACAAGGCCAAATATAAGACCGTGGTTGGCAATGTGGTGGCCGCCATCCGCCATTTGTTCAGGGAAGACGCTCCCGATGTCGAGTGGGACTCAGACCGTGTCTGGGATGCGGTTGGTCTCTGGTCGGCAGCGGATGTTAACTCGGAGGCGGACGAGTCTGAGGAGGAAGAGGCAGGGAATGAGGTCGCGGTTCCTCGCGATGGAGAAGAAGATGGAGGAGGGGGTGATGTTTCCCCTTTAGTGTAAATTGTGTTTTCCAGACTCTTTATGCCTTTATTTTTATTCGTCATGTTGCTTGTGGTAAACAATGACTTTTGGGAGCGTGTGTGCTCTAGTGCGAGTGAGCACTGTTCGTAGTGTGCGTGATATGAACGCATTCTGTTTTATGTTTGGAGGCCTTTTGAACTGGTTTGCGATATCTGGCATCTCTCGCGGATGATTTGATTAAAGCCGAGTCATTTTCTCTGTGGGAGTTCTAGAACACCTCCCTTGTATTTGACGGGCTTGACCACTGGCGGTCATAGTACGTAGGAGGGTCCCCAGTGGCGGGGAACCGCCCTACACCTTGTGTTAATGAGAGGAATGCCCTCTTCTTTGCTAGGCTCTTTCAAGCCCCAAAACCCTCTTGTAGGCGGGTGTTCGCTTCGTTTATGCGACCCTACTC